AAATACAAAAAAAATAGCTGGGCATGGTGGTGTGTGCCTGTAATCCCAGCTACTCAGGAGGCTGAGGCAGGAGAATTGCCTGAACCCAGGAGGCGGAGGTTGCGGTGAGCTGAGATCGCGCCATTGCACTCCAGCCTGGGTAACAAGAGCGAAACTCCGTCTCAAAAAAAAAAAAAAAGAAGCAGTGCCTGTATCTGCCTGTTTGTGGGCTTATGTGGATTACATCTGCATTGCACACATCAGAGCTACCTCTGTCCTGCTGGCTATTCTATCCTCTAGAAAAAGCTTAGGAGCAATCTGTGAAGACAATGAGTATATAAGGGAGGTTGTTTACAAAAGAAAAGCATTCCAGTGGGTATAGAGGAAAAAATTGTCAGAGGTGAGATAGAAATTTTTGACTTTTTTTTTTTCCAATTAATGAATACCTTTTTCCTTCAACCTTCTACAGGCTGTTTATTCTTGCTCCTGTAGGAAGAGGTGGCAAGGTATCAGCCCTCTCTTTGCTACCCACTGCTACTTTCAGACCACTGTGCTTTCATCCTCTTGAAAAATTCTTGCCCCTTTGAAGCTTATGCCATCTGGCTTTACTGTCCTTTAGCACCTTTTTTCTTTTTCTTTTTTTTTTTAGTTGGGGGAGTGCAGCAGCGTAATCATAGCTCACTGCAGCCTCAAACTCCTGGGCTCAAGTGGTCCTCCAAACCCAGCCTTCAGCACCTATTAAATAACCTCTTTGTACCAACCCTTATTATCACTCTGGGAAATTTTAGAAAAACCCATGAAAAATAGTTCGCGACCTCCAACTGCAACTAATACTCCTACTTTCAATTCCTTAATTTCACCATTTCTAGAAAAACAGGTTTTTCTTGATGGCAGCTTCAGGGCTATAGTAAGGACTGGGAGAGAGTAGCATTCTTCTTCTTTTTCTTGTTTTTGAAACAGGGTTTCCCTATGTTACCCAGGTTGGAGTGCAATGGTGCCATCAGGGCTCAATGCAACCTCAAACTCCCAGGCTCAGGTGATCCTCCTCAGCCTTCCAAGTAGCTGGGACTACAGGCACGTGCCACCATACCCAGTTAATTAAAAAAAATTTTCGTAGACATGGGGTCTCTCACTGTGTTGCCCAGGCTGATCTTGAACTCCTGGCCAAAATATTGGGATTACAGGTGTGAGCCACCACACCCAGCGAGAGTAGGATTCTTGAGTGTAGTAAGATTGATGGTGCCGGCACTGGCTGGTGTTGCCTTGAAGACTCACTGAAAGACTGGGTCTGGCAGCCACGATGCATAAGGGCAGAATAGCATGGGGGTTGTACTGCCCAGTGATACATGGGGGAAGGTTCAAGATCTGGATTTGACTTTCATGCCAAGCTTCCAAGAAACCTGGGTTCAGAGGTACAAACAATTTTTCTATTAGCTGCCTCTCTGGGGACATCTGACATTTTCAACATCCACCCCCTTGAAATACTCGTCCCTTCGATTCTGTGACAATTTCCTCCCAGGTTTTCTTCTTCCTCTTTGGTTGCTCCTTTTCAAAGATTCTCCAGGAGCTCTTCTTCTACTTATGCCTTAAATGTTGGAATTCCCCAGAGCACTCTTCCTAGCCCTCTGCTCTTTTCTGGGGAGCTTATCCAAATCTATGGCTTCAATTACCACTGAAATGTTGATGTTTCGGAATTTCTGGCCTATATATCATAGGACTTTCTAAAAAGTAGTTTTCTGGGCAGGCACCATGGCTCATGCCTGTAATCCCAGCACTTTGGGAGGCCGAGGTGGGTGGATCACGAGGTCAGGAGTTCCAGACCAGCCTGGCCAACATAATGCAACCCCGTCTCTACTAAAAATGCAAAAAACTAGCCGGGCATGGTAGCACATGCCTGTATTCCCAGCTACTCGGGAGGCTGAGGCAGGAGAATCTCTTGAACCTGGGAGGCAGAGGTTGCAGTGAGCTGAGGTTGTGCCACTGCATTCCAGCCTGGGTGACAGAGCAAGACTTGGTTTAAAAAAAATAGTTTTTAAATAAATAATATGTGCATAGTAAAATAATTTCAGGCAATAAAGATAGATATAAAATGAAAAGTATAAGTCTCATTCCTCTTAGGCCTGCTCTTCATAATTTCTTTTTTTTTTTTTTTTTGAGACGGAGTTTCGCTCTTGTTACCCAGGCTGGAGTGCAATGGCGCGATCTCGACTCACTGCAACCTCCGCCTCCTGCGTTCAGGCAATTCTCCTGCCTCAGCCTCCTGAGTAGCTGGGATTACAGGCACGCGCCACCATGCCCAGCTAATTTTTTGTATTTTTAGTAAAGACGGGGTTTCACCATGTTGACCAGGTTGGTCTCGATCTCTCGATCTTGTGATCCACCCACCTCGGCCTCCCAAAGTGCTGGGATTACAGGCTTGAGCCACCGCGCCCGGCCCATAATTTCTTTAATGCATGTGTAAATGTGTCATATTTATTCTGTGTTTGCTTTTTTCTCCACTTATATTTTTCTCTTACATTTCAGATCTGTATATTAAACATGCCATTAGGACACATCTATCTAGCTACCCCACAGGTAGCTAAAACTTCTTCCCTTTCTTTGGAATTCTCCCTCCTCCAACACCCTTATCACTAGTCTCCTTTTTACATCAACACCATGAAAAAACTGTCTTTATATGTTATGCTTTCTCAAGTCAATCTGTTTTCCATCCACCGCAACTACAAAACAGCTTTCTCCAAATTTCCTAAATGACCTCCTTGTTGCAGTATCTTTTTCTTTTTTTTGGAAACAGAGTCTCACTGGAGGGCATTGGTGCATTTCTGCTCACTGCAACCTTCACCTCCCGGATTCAAGTGATTCTCCTACCTCAGCCTCCCAAGTAGCTGGGATTACAGGTGACTGACACCACACTGGCTAATTTTTGTATTTTTAGTAGAGACAGGGGTTTCACCATGTTGGCAAGGCTGGTCTCGAACTCCTGACCTCAGGTGATCAGCCCACCTCGGCCTCCAAAAGTGCTGGGATTACAGGTGTGAGCTACTGTGCCTGGCCTTTTTAAAAACAAACAAAAAAAACACAAAGTCTTGTTCTGGTACAAGGAGCACAGTGAAATGATCTCAACTCACTGCAACCTCCGCCTCCTGGGTTCAAGTGATTCTCATGCCTCAGCCTCCAGAGTAGATGGGATCACAGGTGTACACCACCACCCCTGCCTAATTTTTGTATTTTTTTTAGAGATGGGGTCTTGCCACATTGGCCAGGCTGGTTTCCAACTCCTGGCTTCAAGTGATTCCACTGCCTAGGCCTCCCAAAGTGCTGGGATTACAGGTGTGAGCCACTGTGCCTGGTCCTTGTTGCAATATTTGATAGACACATTTTATTTACTTAGTTTTTTGAGACAGAGAGCCATCTCACCTCACTGCAACCTCTGCCTCCTCGGTTTAAGTGATTCTTGTGCCTCAGCCTCCCCAGTAGCTAGGATTACAGGCATGCATCACCATGCCTGGCTGATTTTTGTATTTTTAGTAGAGAAGGGGTTTCACCATGTTGGCCAAGCTGGTCTTGGAACTCCTGACCTCAAGTGATCCGCCCATCTTGGCCTCCCAAAGTGCTGGGATTGCAGGTGTAAGCCACAGCACCTGGCCTATTTATTTTATTTATTTATTTTTTTTGAGACAGGGTCTCACTCTGTTGCCCAGGCTGGAGTGCAATGGTGAGATCTCAGCTCACCGCAATCTCTGCCTCCTGGGTTCACACAATTCTCATGCCTCAGCCTCCCAAGCAGCTGAGATTTATAGGCATTTGCCACCACACCCAGCTACTTTTTGTATTTTTAGTAGAGACAGGGTTTCACCATGTTGGGCAGGCTAGTTTCAAACTCCTGGCCTCAAGTGATCCACCCACTTGTGCCTCCCAAACTGCTAGGATTGCAGGTGTGAGCCACCAAGCCCAGCCCTGATGGATACATTTTAGTTTGCATTTTACCTTATCTCTGTTACAATAAATGCTTCAACCAGTTTCTTTGATAGTTCTCTATGGTTTTCTTTCCTTTTGGTTTGCCCCTTCTCAGTGTTCTTTTCGGCTTCCCTCATCCTATCAGCAAATGCAGGTATCCTCTCTAGCCCACTTCATGGCTTCAACAGCTACCTATATGCACACGCACACACACCTCAACCCTTTCTTTTGGGTTCCCAGTCCACACTAGCTAGTATCCCAGGGGCACCCAAAAGTCATTATCTACCCCTAAATGAGAAAGGAAATGGTATCATTATTCCCCAGTTGTCCAAGTCAGAACATTCATACCTCTTAATCCAATTTATTTCTCCCCATCTGCACTCTCCCTTCCACAAGACAGACCATCATCATCTCTAGCCTAGAAAAGAGCCTAATTGTTCTCCTTGCTTCTCACTTTGTCCCCTTAATTCATCCTTCACACTGCACGCAGAGATCTAAAATGCAAATAACATTGTTCACACCTCCTTTGAGATTCTTCAAAGACTTTTCGTTGCCTTAAGGATAAAAATCAATTAATTTACAAGGCTTTGCATAATCTGGTCTCCCCCTATCTATTACCTCTTCTTAAGCCACATCAGGTTGTTGGCTGCCCCAGAACTTACCCGCACCATGCTCCCCACCCCCAATCCCCAACAGCCCTACACGGATCAGCTAGGCGACACTTCCTACAGGAAGCCGGCGTTCAAAAGGTAAATGCTGAACGAATGAATTCCGAGACGGGATCTGGGCAGCGCCTTCAGCTCCGGATCCGGGTTTACGGAACGTCCGGGTTATCAGGAAGCTCAGAGGAAAGGTGAAATCCAGATCTTGACCCTTCACTCAAGTTCGCCAGGCAAACCGATCCCCGTGCTATTCCGCCTTTATGAGTCAGGGCTGCCAATCCCAGCCTTTCAGTGGGTCTTGAAGGCGCCACCAATGTTTCCACATTCAAGAATGCTATCCTCTCCCATGCCTTATTACCGCCCTAAGCAGTCGTCAAGAAAAACCGGCGTTGCCAGCTTGCCCCAAAGCAAGATGGCTGCCAATCCCTATCTCTCCTCCCGAAGTGAAGCTATCCACTCCCCGCTTAATGCCGCTGCCAGGCTGCCCTCACTTACTATGGCTACTCCGGCTCATGTCTCACTATGGTCTCGAAGCCGCCACTAACCGGCCAGGTTCCGGGAGGCGCCGTTCAGGATGCAGCCACCCCCGCCCGCCTCTCCCCTCCCCCACGCCCGCGGCGGCGGCGGCGGCGGCGGCGGCTGGAGCCCGGATGCGGCGCCGTGAGACAGGCCCGGGAGAGCGGCGCGGATGGATCCAACATGGCGGCGCCGAGCCTGAGCCGAGAGTGAGGCGGAGGGGCGGCCGGAGTGGGGAGAGGGAGTCGAGCGGGACGGGGCGGGGCCGGGCGGGGCCGCAAAGGGCTTGGGGAAGGAAAGTGGAGGGGGAGGCGGTGGCGACGTCCAGCCTGAGAACCTCAAGAGAGGGAGGTGACGGGACGCTGAGAGGTGGGGGAGGGGAGCTGCCGAGGGGGGCGTGCAGGGGAGATGGCAACTGCAGGAGAGGGCAGGGGTCGAGGCGGAGGAGTGAGGGCATGGGGAGGGGCGTAAACAAGGGCTGAGACTGGGCCCGGCCAGGGGTATTAGAGAGGCCGAGGTGGGGAGTGGGGCTGCGATCCGCTCGTGTGGAAGCGGGTAGGAGCTGGAGGGAGAGGTTGAGGGTGTGAAGGGGAAGGGGGCCGTGGCATGTGGTTGGAGGGAGGACTGGACTCTGATGCGGGGTGTTGCGAGGAGGTGGGGAAAGGTGAGAATTGAAGTTAAGACGTTTCTGCGGGGCTTCGAAAGTGCTGAATTGGAGGTGGGAGGGGGAAGGGCCTAGGGGAGAATTTGGGTGGAAAAGGAGAGAACGGAGGTTTGGGGAATGGAGAGAGTGTCGGTGGGAGGAGGTAATGGAGAAAGTGAGAGACTGGGAGGAAAGTTTGGGAGGAAGGAGAGTGGAATGGGAGATAGGATAGTGGAGCTGCACGAGTGATGGAGGTTCGGGGGTTTCCCTTTCCCCGGTGCCCAGGAGGAGAGAATAGAGTTAAGCAGCATCAGTTGCAGCCAATTCTAATTGCCAGGCCCTTAGCTTTTAAGAGGGTGGGAAGGGCAGAAGGGAATGGTCATGTGGGCTTGCAGAATTGGGGTTGGATGAGAATTCAGCTGGGTTTGTTTTCCAAAAGACTCCCTAGCTTACTCCCTTGTTTTTCCTGGTTGGGAAAATGGGAAAACCGGTGTCGCCCAAGTGTGGAGGAGCAAAGGACTTTTCTAGTTTGTAGCATTAGCAGTACAACAGTGGGGGAGCAGACATGGCTGTATTGGAATCCTATATGCAAAGGTGGAGGCTCTGGAGGTCTGAGGAGGGAAAGAGAAAAGATAGCGTGGCATCTAGACATGTTAAATGAGTGCTGTAGTTTCCAGACCCTTTTGCTGTTTAAGTCTAGAAGGGAGGGAGTAATATGCATACTGTATGTAGAAAAACTCCCTGGTGAACATAGATGTGTGAGTGGATGCTGCCCCATTGGATATTTTGTTCTCATTGTGTGCAAGTTAAGGGAAAGGGCCAAAGGCAGAATTTGGAGGATAGTGCTGGTCTGATATGTGAAAGTAATGGGGAAGAAAATGCCTTCTTTGGCTGTAACCACTTTCCTCCCAGTTTTTTCTAAAGGTGAAAGTTAACGTTAACATTGTAACAAAATAGGAGTAAGGAATTGAGGAAGATGAGAAGGTGTTAGACGGTAATTGGTTTTCCCAGAAGTTCTTAAATTTGGGAACTTCTTGCCGCAAGCCATTGAGACTGGAAATTCTTGGAGTTCGTATTGTTTTTGTAAATTGACTAATTGAGAGTTAGGGAAGCCTGGCGACTTGTTGAGGGCGAGTTCTCTAAATGGCTTTAGGCTTATTTGTGTATTTTTGCAACAAGATTGACTAATTCTGTGGGCCTTTGAAGTTTCAAAGTAAAACCTGAAATTAATTATTTTCCCCTCCTTATTTGTTTTTGTTTTGCTGCTGGCTGTGAAACTTGTGCTAGGAAGAGACCTGGGAAATTAAATTTCTTGCAGAGGTAAGTCTGAAACTTTTTTATTGTTTTCAAACAACAGAATGGAATGGCTATAGCATGAGAGTTGTTTTGAGGTTGGGTCCATTATGAGGAGGAGAATGCCAGGGAAAATGAGTTTTCACTCACTCATCTGAGTGCACGAGATCTATTGCAATCGCTGTCTTTAGTTATTGGAGTTAGGAAGGGAAAGAGAAGGAGATTTAGATGTCTTGGGACAATCCCCCAGCTTTGGTTTGTTATTGTCTGGTCTTCTTGGTCAGCTCTCAAACTTTTTTTTTTTTTTTTTTTAACATATGGAAGACTTTAGTACATTGTCTGCTAAATGTTGGCCTTGGAAGGTTACTGGAACACCTTCCTTCCATGGGAAACCTTTCCTCTTTCTTTTTCTTCCAGCCGTTGTGGGGGTTCCTGGCATCTTTCTTTTGAAACCATACAATGTAACTTTGACTTCCAGTTATTTGATTACATTTCCTAGTCTCACCAGCAAGAAAACTCTTGATGTACTCTTAGCCATCTTTAAGATTTCCCATGTGGCTTTCATTTCAAGTTTCAGGACACCACTTTTTTTTTTTTTTTGTAGTTCTTCTGCATGACTTTTCCTTTGAGGACTTCGGAAAGAGTCAGCTCCAATTCGCCTATTAAATTACAAATATCCCTGTTCAGAGGAGATGACTGTCATTTTCATTTCAAGATATTACTCTCTTTTTATATGTTTCACATGGCTTTCCCCTAAGGGCTTCTGAGAGAGCCAAGTACCTAAAAAAATACGGATATTCTGGTTGGGATGAGACCAGATTTTGCTTGGAAGTAGAAACACAGTAGAGAAGGAACAAACAGGAGGAAATCCCGAAGATGCCTATAGCGTTGGCTGACTTGGACTTCTCTAAAGAAAAAAGCAAAACTCCAGGAATATAGCATTCATCAGAATCAATCATTCTTGGGAAACTGTATGGGAGAATTCATGAGTTACTGTCTCAAATGGAGTCAGACCAGTCAGTGGGATCAGGACTCTCTGTGTACTAGAGTTTTGTCTCTTGGTTATTTGGCAATGTTTCAGATACCGAGACTTGAATTATTTCTGATCTGTTCTCAGGGTTACGTTCTCCTCACCATTCTGATACTTAAAATCTCCGTATGTTTTAAGTTGAGCTCCCTTGCTTCACTGCCACAGAAATATGAATATATTTTGGTTTTAGAGGAAACCGCTCATGGTTTTTTTTTTTTTTTTTATGAGACAGAGTTGCCCAGGCTGGAGTTTAGTGGCATAAAGTTGCAATCTCTGCCTCCCAGGTTCAAGCCATTTTCCTGTCTTAGCTCCCGGAGCAGCTGGGATTACAGGCATGAGCCATCATGCCCAGCTACTTTTTGTATTTTTAGTAGAGACAGGGTTTCACAATGTTGGCCAGGCTGGTCTTGAACTCCTTACCTCAAGTGATCCACCTGCCTCGGCCTCCCACAGTGCTGGGATTACAGCTGTGAGCCACCTCGACTGGCTTTTTCCTCCTAACTTTACTAATTATTTGAACTTAAGATTTATCACTTTTTTTTTTTTTTTTTTTTTTTTGAGACGGAGTTTCGCTCTTGTTACCCAGGCTGGAGTGCAATGGCGCGATCTCGGCTCACCGCAACCTCCGCCTCCTGGGTTCAGGCAATTCTCCTGCCTCAGCCTCCTGAGTAGCTGGGATTACAGGCACTTGCCACCATGCCCAGCTAATTTTTTGCACTTTTAGTAGAGGCGGGGTTTCACCATGTTGACCAGGATGGTCTCGATCTCTCGACCTCGTGATCCACCCGCCTCGGCCTCCCAAAGTCCCAAAGTGCTGGGATTACAGGCTTGAGCCACCGCGCCCGGCTTTTTTTTTTTTTTTTTTTTTTTTTTTTTTTTTTTTTGAGGCAAGATCTTACTCTGCTCCCCAGGCTGGAGTGTAGTGGTGCAATCAGAGTAGCTGGGACCACAGGTGTGTACCACCATGCCCAGCTAATTTTTGTTTATTGTTTGTAGAGATAGATTCTTGGAACTCTCATCTGGGTTGCATTAAGTGGAGAGGGCTGCCTCTTAACCTGCATGTCAGTATCCTCATATTTCTCTGAAGGACATGGCCTTGAGGAACTTACATATTTCTATATTTTGCTTCATCGAATAAGCAATATAAGTCTGATTAGTAACTTAACAAGTAAGAGTCTGCTACTTTTCTAGTTTCAAGACTTTAAAGATGGCCCTTATGAGCAGGACCCTTTGTGTCTGTCTTGCAGAGGATTACAGAACTCCAGATTGAACTAGGTTCTAGTAGACCTGGGATGGGACAGAAGTGGGTGTAGCCCTGCTTCACCTGCTCTTCAGTGGAATGCCTACAGCAGGTGATGGAGGAGCCAAGGTTGGAGTGGTATGAAGCACCTTAGTGCTAGTTGGACTTAGAAGTTAAATGAACCTCTATGTCTAATAGGCCTTTCTTTTTTTCTGGAATGTTGTTTGATGGGTTTGCATTAGAGGGACCAAATGGCTTTTTCTAGATCTAATGTGGAAAGTGACATGCATTCTTTTGACCCTTCATCATGGTCCACCTAGAATAGGGTTTATTGACATTTTGTGCTAGGTGATTCTTTGTTGTGGCAGACTGTCCTGTGCATTATAGGATGTTTCTTTTTTCTTTTGAGACAGGGTCTCACTCTGTCACCTGGGCTGGAGTGCAGTGGCGCTATTACATCCCACTGCAGCTTCGCCTTCCCAGGCTCAAGGGATTCTTCTACGTCAGCCTCTCAAGTAGCTGGGACCACAGGTGCAGGCCACCACGCCTGGCTAATTTTTGTATTTTGTGTAGAAATAGGGTTTGCCATGTCATCCAAGCTGATCTCAAACTCCTGGGCTCAAGTGATCCACCCACCTTGGCCTCTCAAAGTGCTGGGAATTCAGACGTGAGCCACTGTACCTTGTCTGTAGGCTGTTGTAAATATCTATGGCTTCTACTCATTACATGAAGATTGCAGCCCCTTCCCCACTGAGCATGATAATCAGAAATGTCTCCAGACATTGCCACATATCCATCCCCCTAGGGGTCAAATTTGCCCCTGGTTGAGAACCACTGACCTAAAAGCTCTGATAATTCTTAGTATGTTGATGATCTAACCTGGGATCTAGGACTTAAAGGTGGCTAGTGTGTGTGTTTCCTCTCAAATGTAGGAAGTTAACTTTCAAGGGATTGAAGCTGATAGAATTACATCCATTGATGCCTAATTAGGACCACAGTGCTTTCCTGTATTTTGCCTCATTTTCCATTGTGAGGGTATGTGGGGACAATGTTTCTTCATTTCCTGGGGTTTAAGTACACTTTAAATTAGGGATCTCTGGAGCAACCAGCTCTCCTGGTTGGTTTAATGTGAAACCTACTCATCTGCTTTATCTGAGATCCTCATAATCAACAGCTGGCCCAAGGGAACAGGTGGGATAGGCAGCAAGGAGAAGTTGCAGGGGCTCTGAGGAGGCTCGGTTTTCTCATGTTGCCTGCTATGAGCAAGAACTTATTTTCCTTTAGTACCTTCATTTGTACCCAGTGACAGCAACAGGTGAATCAAGAGGAAGGAATAACAGTCTCTGGTTGAATAGCTATTTTCCCAGCTGTTTCCCATGCTTTGGGTGGGGCATCTGGGCTCTCAAAATTATATATGGATTATATTTCCTTTCCACATATCAGAACCCATGGTATAGGGTTAAGTGATCCCAGAGTATACCTCTGTTTTTTTTTTTTTTTTTTTTAAGAGAATGAGTTTCTCTCTGCTTTCATCTTAGTTTCTCATCTGAGGACCAGTTCCTATTTACTCTTCAGCTTTACAGGTCTCTATCAGCTTTGTTTTTCCAAAGAAGCTTATTATTTTATTCTCTTTCCTAGTCTAGCCTCAGTTCTTTTTTGTATAAAATGGGCAGAGCAACCTGCCTTATTGTTGAGTAGGGTAGTGTGGTGTGGTGTGATATGGTGTGGTAGTTCTGAACAGTGCAGAGGAGACTATGGTTAGAATATATGCATGGTAACTGAGTTACCTATGTGGAATTTCGCTCTTTCATTCAGGATAAAGTGATAAAAGGCAAAATCGCTTCTGGTTTCAAGCAATTCTCCTGCCTCAGCCTCCCAAGTAGCTGGGATTATAGGCTCCTGCCACCACCCCTGGCTAATTTTTGTGTTTTTAGTAGAGACGGGGTTTTACCATGTTGACCAGGCTGGTCTCGAACTCCTGACCTCGTGACCCACCTGCCTCAGCCTTTCAAAGTGCTGGGATTACAGGCGTGAGCCACTGCACCCAGCTCCTGTATCTGTTTTTAATGGGGTCCTGTCACTCTTGGACTTTTGTGAGTTTGTTTCTTAATTGGAATTGCTTGTGGTGATCTCCTAGAGATTAAGTTCAGTTCAACAGTGGGTTGCCCCTACTGTATTTGAGGTTCTGTCCATTCCTAGGCACAAAGATGGCTATGACATAGTCCCTCTCCATGAGTTGAGTAGAATCTAACGGGATAATAAGTACACAAATAATTTTAGTACATGGTGATAAATGGTGTAAAGGAGATATGCATAGTGTTCCATAAGAGCACAGAAGAGGACTACTTATCTCAGCATGGGGGTGTAAAGAATGCATTTTGAAGATGGCATCTGAGCTGACTCTTAAAGAATGAGTAGGAGTTAGCCATCTGAAAAAGAGTGATGATGGGGGTGTGGAATAGAGAAGGGAGAGGGGCATTCAGGCAAAGAGAAGCGCCTGAAGAAAGTATAGAGAAACAAATTGCGTGATGTTTGTGAACTATAAACAAACTGATAATGTTAGAGAATAAAAAGTGGATGCAGTGGGAGATGAGGTTTGGAAGGTAGGCCTAATCTTAGAAAGCTTGATGTATGTGTAAAGAATTTGGAGTGTTCTTATAGGTAAGGACAGGGCTATCAACAGGTCTCAAGCAGGAAAGTGACTTGGTCAGCTGTTCACTTTAGATAGCTAACTGAACTAGATAGGGTGGGGAATGGATTCAGGTAGGTTAAGATTGGTGGTGCAGAGAACCCTTAAAGTGGCAGTTGCAGTACTCCAGGTGAGAGATTATTGTAATCTGAACTGTGGCAGTGGAGGTGGAAAAGTAGGAGAGATTTAAGAAATATCTAGAAGTAGCATTAACAGGAATTTAGGATTGGTTGGGTGATTGGAGATGTGACCAAAGAGTGGACAGTATTGGATGGTACTGTCTGGTGGAGCAGTAAATATGAGTGACTTGAATGGAGTGAAAGTGGTTGGATTTGAGAATTGATTAATGGCTGTGTCATTGTTAATACCCACAATTATGGAAGAACTTTGTGAATCAAGTGCCAAACTATATCATGAATGTGGGGCCGTGATTGGTCATTGATAGGGGATTGGTAAATGACATTCATGAGGAAAGCTTAGAAGTTGGTATTGCCACCGGGCGCGGTGGCTCAAGCCTGTAATCCCAGCACTTTGGGAGGCTGAGGTAGGTGGATCACGAGGTCAAGAGATGGAGACCATCCTGGTCAACATGGTGAAACCCCGTCTCTACTAAATACAAAAAATTAGCTGGGCATCATGGCGCATGCCTGTAATCCCAGCTACTCAGGAGGCTGAGGCAGGAGAAGTGCCTGAACCCAGGAGGCAGAGGTTGCAGTTAGCCGAGATCGTGCCATTGCACTCCAGCCTGGGTAACACGAGCAAAACTCCGTCTCCAAAAAAAAAAAGAAGTTGGTATTGCCAAGGCTGGGCGCGGTGGCTCACGCCTGTAATCCCAGCACTTTGGGAGGCCGAGGCAGGAGGATCACCTGAAGTCAGGAGTTTGAGACTAGCCTGGCCAACATGGTGAAACTGCATCTCTACTTAAAAGTACAAAAATTAGCCAGATGCGGTGGCATGCGCCTGTAATCCCAGCTACTCAGGAGGCTAAGGCACGAGAATCTTTTGAACCCTGAAGATAGTGGTTGCAGTGAGCCGAGATCTTGCCACTGTACTCCAGCCTGGGTGACAGAGTGAGACTCCGTCTCAAAAAAAAAAAAAAAAAAAAGTTGGTATTGTCAAATAGTGTGAAGATCAAGGGAGTACAAATGGTATAGAATTAGAAGAATGTTTATTGCAGAAACTTAATAATGTTCGTTGATTTAAATCCATGAGTTTTGGTGAATATTGATAAACTTTCTGAGCAGTAGATGTGGTTGGATTGTAGGAATAATGTGGAGGGATGAATCTGGGCTGCAAAGGCCAAGAATGCTTGTATCTTTGAAATCTGTTTCACAACCATTTATATAAGGGTTACCAAGTGATTATGCATGTATTTTTCTCATTGGATTCTTAACTATGAGGTGTAGATTCATTCATCCCTGTTTATAGATGAAGGCACTGAGAATTTGAACTTAAGTGACTTGCTTAAGGTCACACAGCTACACAGCTTTTCAGTGATAAAGTCAGAATTTAAACCAGTTCTTTTCTTTTTCTTTCGAGATGGGGTCTCACTCTGTCACCCAGGCTGTATACAGTGCAGGATTATAGCTCACTGCAGCCTTGAACTCTTGAGCTCAAGTGATTCTCCTGCCTCAGGCTCCTGAGTAGCTGGGACTACAGGCACATGCCACCATGCCCTATTTTTTTCTCTTTTTTGTAGAGATGGGGTCTCGCTATGTTGACCAGGCTGATCTTGAATTCCTGGCCTCAAGCCATCCTCCCACCTCAGCCTCCTGCATAGCTGGGACTACAGATGGATACCACCAAGCCCAGCTAATTTTTTTTTTTCTTGTAGAAACAGGAGTCTCCCTATGTTGTCCAGGCTGGTCTTGAACTCCTGGGCTCAAGTGATCCTCCTGCCTTGGCCTCCCAAAATGCTGGGATTAAAGGTGTGAACCCATCTGCCCGGCCAGTGTTTATTTTTAAACAAATACTTTTGAAAATTTAATAAACATGTATAAAGCACTGTACTATACCAGGCATTGTGTTACTGACTGAAAATATGGGAACGCCTAAGACTAGTTCCTGCCATTGAGTGACTCATTGGTTCTTTCCCTGACCTTTCAGTACGGTGGGGATTGCAGCTGCTGAGCAGGAATTCCGGAAAGCATTGCATACCTGAGCCCCCAGCATGGCGGGCCTAAAGCGGCGGGCAAGCCAGATGTGGCCAGAAGAGCATGGTGAGCAGGAACATGGGCTGTATAGCCTGCACCGCATGTTTGACATCGTGGGCACTCATCTGACACACAGAGATGTACGCGTGCTTTCTTTCCTCTTTGTTGATGTCATTGATGACCATGAGCGTGGACTCATCCGAAATGGACGTGACTTCTTATTGGCGCTGGAGCGCCAGGGCCGCTGTGATGAAAGTAACTTTCGCCAGGTGCTGCAGCTGCTGCGCATCATCACTCGCCACGACCTGCTGCCCTACGTCACCCTCAAGAGGAGACGGGCTGGTGAGGGTGTATTAGGGGCTGGAATCAGGGAAGAGTTGTGGGAGGCCAGGAAAGAGCAGCATAGGCATCTAAAGGGGAGAACACATTGACCATGGGAGTACTTAGGAGAGTAAGTTGTGAGGCCCATTGGAGGTTTGGACTGAGAGAAGGGAAGGGTGTATATTTTCCTGAATGATTCTTCTCCTCCTACAGTGTGCCCTGATCTTGTAGACAAGTATCTGGAGGAGACATCAATTCGCTATGTGACCCCCAGAGCCCTCAGTGATCCAGAACCGAGGTCTCCCCAGCCCCCTAAAACAGGTGAGAGGACATTAACTCCCCTTACTTTCCATAATCAAGTAAAACGACACCGATTTCACCACAATTAGGGCTTTGCCAGCTTAAATGAAAGGATGCTGTGCCCCCACATTGTGTGCCATAAAAAAAAAATCATGGCTGGGCACCGTGGCTCTTGCCTGTAATCCCAGCACTTTGGAAGGCTGAGGCAGGTGGATCACAAAGTCAGAGATTGAGACCATCCTGGCTAACATGGTGAAACCCTGTTTCTACTAAAAATACAAAAATTAGCAAGGTGCCGTGGTGCACACCTGTAGTCCCAGCTACTCAGGAGGCTGAGATAGGAAAATTGTTTGAACCCAGGAGGCAGAGGTTGCACTGAGCTGAGATTGCGCCACTGCACTCCAGCCTGGGTGACATAGTGAGACTCCGTATCAAAAAAAAAAAAAAAAAAAAAAAAAAAAAAAAGGCCGGGCGCGGTGGCTCAAGCCTGTAATCCCAGCACTTTGGGAGGCTGAGGCGGGTGGATCACGAGGTCAAGAGATCGAGACCATCCTGGTCAACATGGTGAAACCCCGTCTCTACTAAAAATACAAAAAAAAAAAAAAAAAAAATTAGCTGAGCATGGTGGCGCATGCCTGTAATCCCAGCTACTCAGGAGGCTGAGGCAGGAGAATTGCCTGAACCCAGGAGGCGGAGGTTGCGGTGAGCCGAGATCGCGCCATTGCACTCCAGCCTGGGTAACAAGAGCGAAACTCCGTCTCAAAAAAAAAAAAAAAAAAAAAAAAAAATCAGGTGAGGTGTTGACGTTTCTCCTAGGTCCTCTATTTGCTCTCACATTGTGTCTTTTCAAGTCACATTATTGTCACTGCTTTGAGTCCTAAGTCTAAACAATTCCTTCCTCATTCCAAGAGACATGTTTGAATTTCTGCCTTAATCCTACTGTTTTCTTCCCTTTTACTTTCTGGTCAGTGCCTCCCCACTATCCTGTGGTGTGCTGCCCCACTTCGGGTCCTCAGATGTGTAGCAAGCGACCAGCCCGAGGGAGAGCCACACTTGGGAGCCAGAGAAAACGCCGGAAGTCAGTGACACCAGATCCCAAGGAAAAACAGACATGTGGTGAGGAAATTCAAGAGTTCCAGAGGTGGAGCAGACTTGAGGGAGACTATAAAGAACTGCTGGAGGCTGGGTGCGGTGGCTCACACCTATAATCCCAGCACTTTGGGAGGCCGAGGCGGGTGAATTGCTTGAAGACAGGAGTTCGAGACCAGCCTGGCCAACATGGTGAAACCCCATCTCTTTAAAAAAAAACAAAACAAAAAACTGCTGGGACACTGGACAGTTTATGCCATTCAGTGTGAGATTCACTTTGAATGCCATTGCAAAGTGGGGCTGAATGGTTTGGTGTCTGGTGGAAGAACTGCTCTTTATGATTGTAGCAGGGTACATTTAAACTCTTGTTAATACTCTACATCACTGGAATGTTATTATGACATCCTTATTGTAGGATGAACCAAGTTAAGATGAGAGTTTTTTTTTTTTTCTTTTTTTTTTAAGATTGGGGGTCAGGCTGGTCTTTTAACTCCCAACCTCAGGTGATCCCCCTGCCTTGGCCTCCAAAGTGCTTGGATTACAAGGGTGAGCCACCACGCCCGACCTTCTTTTTTTTTTTTTTTTTTTTTTTTTTTTTTTAAGGATGAGAATATTAAAATGAACTTCTGTGCCTGGTAATTAGCAAAATATCTCCTATAAGCAAGTTGCTGCTTGTGAGTAATGGGAGCAGTGCTGACCTGGACATGTTCCATTTAAGGCAACCTCCTGTAGTCAGGCAAGGATTTTAGAGATACATAGAACTAGTCCTGGGGAAGAGGTAGAGAAGCTGTCAGGTGATGTTCCCTACTTTATTCTGCTGTGCTTTTCAGTTTTCAAGCTTGGGTTGTAAACTCATCCCTCACTGTAACCTCTTCTGCTCTGTGTCTTCCCTTTCTAACAGACATCAGACTGCGGGTTCGGGCTGAATACTGCCAGCATGAGACTGCTCTGCAGGGCAATGTCTTCTCTAACAAGCAGGACCCACTTGAGCGCCAGTTTGAGCGCTTTAACCAGGCCAACACCATCCTCAAGTCCCGGGACCTGGGCTCCATCATCTGTGACATCAAGTTCTCTGAGCTCACCTACCTCGACGCATTCTGGCGCGACTACATCAATGGCTCTTTATTAGAGGCACTTAAAGGTGTCTTCATCACAGACTCCCTCAAGCAAGCTGTGGGCCATGAAGCCATCAAGCTGCTGGTAAATGTAGATGAGGAGGACTATGAGCTGGGCCGACAGAAACTCCTGAGGAACTTGATGCTGCAAGCATTGCCCTGACCTTTTCCCTCTTCTCACTTCTTTGGGGAGTGTTCCCATTACCCACCTCTGGAGCTTACACTGTTCTGGGGTTTGTTCTCTACCCTTCCAACCAATGACACCCCTGCCTTTTTTTTTTTTTTTAAAAGAAAAAGACAAAGGAAAGTGGAAGTGGTGATCCCCACCCCTCCCTGCACCCATGTGCCTGGGCTTCCCCTTTGTTTCCCTTTTCCATTTACCCCTCAACGTGTGTCTCTACAGCTACCTTACCACTGAGCCGTAAGACAAATGTATAGGGAGAAACAAAGTCTACAGAACGTAGTCTTTGTAAGGGATTGATGTGAACACTGCTTTTGGGTGCACTAAGGGGTTATCAATACTTCTGGCTTTATGAGAGCTCTTAAATTTTGTCTAAAAAAAACCAAAGGGCTGTGAGTAAGGGAGCTATGTGGAAGGTGGGACTCTGAAGTGTATTTTGAAAATTAATTGCCACCCTCTTCCAAATTACAGAATTTTTTTTAAAACAAAGAAGCTGTGGCCCTTTCCACTCTCTCCTGGCCTCTGGTGCTGCTCCTCTCTGCCTTCTTTCCCCCATTCCATGGCTGAAACCTCTGCCTGATGTGGCTCTTTCCTTTTTTGCATTTCTCAAACCCTCTTCAAGGGAGGAATAGATAAGAGGACTGCATCAGCCTAGTCACGCCTCCCAACTGTGGTGGCGTATGTGTATGCACGTACACAGGGTGGATGGAGAAGAGGTTGCTGATTAAAATACACTCCCCCTGTAAAGGGGAAGGGGGAGTGTGACACTTTCTTTCCATGTTCAAGTGAAAATAAATAATGTACCCTGCAGCCCTTTTCCCCTTTGCTTTCTTCTGGCTTGGGCAAAGGGCATCATAGGTGAAAGTGAAGTAATTCCTTTTTCCTTCCCCCTCCACTCCTGTGCCCACTCCCATGTTTGGGAGAATGGGGCTGGGACATGCACTGAGTGTTGCACTTTTATTTAGGTAGGGAGGCATGTTGAATGAGCCAGGAGGTCTAGAACTGGAGCCCAGTCCTGCTAGTACAATACCAATTCCCCCTGTAGCTCCCAAAGGAGATGTCCAGACACAGACTTTATGATTATTATATTTTTCAATGCCAGTGCTGCTCAGCCCTCAGCATAACTTCAGTTTTCATGAAATAAACAATGACTATATAAAATGCCACCTTTCTGAAACTGCAATCTGACCTAAGGTGAAAGCTGCTTTCCCAAGAAGCCAAGCCTGTGTTCCATCAAGAAAGTCAAGGTTCTCCAATTGAGGGGAGCTGTGCCTGGGTCCTGCCTCCAAGTCACATGAACACTGGCTCACAATGGTGGGAGGGCGGGTCTCAACTCACAGAAGTCAAGTCTTAAGATAGTGGATGACCCAGATTACCATAGAGGTCAGGCCTGCGGTGCTGGAACACAGGCAGGTGTTGGCGCAACTGTCGTAGATAGTTGAGGTCAATTTGGGCGAGGCAGAGCCCTGGGCCTTCAGAGCAGCGGGCCACCACTGTTCCCCAGGGGTCTACCACCATGCTGTGGCCATAACTTGCTCGTTTCTCATGGTGGCGTCCACACTGTGCTGCTGCCACTACATAGCACTGGGTTTCAATGGCACGGGCCCGCAGCAACACCTGCAGATGAGATGTATGTTCAGTTAAGTACATGTAGCAAATAGTGGGGGAGTGACAAGGGACTCTACAATCTACCCATTATGACTTTTGATAATTGCCTAGGAATGATTTTACTATTTTAACTATTCTGTAACAGAATTATCTGGGGAATGAGTTTTCCTACAAGGTGGAAAGGGGAAGGAACTTAACTGGTAGGGCCAAGGGAGGAGGCTGAGGTTAAGAAAAGGCCCTTACGTTTTAAAAAGGCACCATCTTACCTCCCAGTGGGCTGGTCCTGTAACAGATCCAAAAGCTGAAGGATAGGTAAGTATCTCTGCTCCAGCTTGAGCCAATGCCAGAGAGAGTTCAGGGAACCGCATGTCATAGCAGACAGCTAGACCAATCTGGAATGAAAAACAGCTTACTTAGTCTTCCTGCCCTGTTTGTTACAGCATCTAGTCATACTTTCGTTACCCCCCTCCTCAGGACTTTCTATTCTCTACTACCAGTTCAAAGTATTCCAGTTCCCCTCCCTCACCCTCTCACAACTCCCACCTTGCCTGCTGGTGTGCTGACAGGTGACTCCAGACTGGGCCCAGGCATGGTAGAGTTGCTTTCACACATAGGCCCCTGCCCTGGAATCTCTACATCACACAGATGTGTCTTCCTGTAAGTGGCCACTACTGCCCCTAGAGTAAGAAGGAATATTCAGTGTCCGTGTTCTAGAAGCCTTGCTTACTCTTCCCAAGGAGTAGATAGTTTATAGGCTAGGAACAGAAGTAACACCCCTAAATCCTAGGGTCAAGGAAATAGAGTTGAGAAACAATGCTGGAGAATCTAAGTTTAGGTGGAAGAGGCAGGCTAAAGGGTTATAAAGTCTCACCTTTGCTATTCAGCAGCACGTGACAATTGTAGATTTTCTGAGTCTGCTCCCAGTCTCGGCCACGCTCATGGAAACCACCCAAGGACAGCCAGAGTCCACATTCCCTGGGGGGAGGGGACGCTGACAACTCTTCGCTGACTTCTCAAGGCTGCACCCTCACATTTGGCAATCTAAGGACACTGCCCAACAAAGATTCCACCTCTCCTTCCCCCATTCCCTGATACCTGGCAAGCTGGGTGTATTCTTCCAAAAGTTTCCCACCCAGTGGTTCAGACAGGCGTAGCGTCTCTGCAGGGTCCCGTGCAATGAAGTCAAATGCTTCAGGCAGGAAAGCCAGGCAGGCACCCAGTCTGGCAGCCTCTCGAACCAGCTCAGCACATGTTTTAAAGTTCTGTTGCTTGTCTGGCGTTGATGTTACCTGGCACACAGCCACGAGGGGCAGTTTGCAGGAGGAAGAGGAGATAGCCATGGCTCTGGGCCTGTGAATAGCATAGGCAGGATTCTCAGATTTCAGTGCATGGGGAAACAAAATTAATGCTAAGGGGTGCAAGGGAGGAAAGCTGGACTTCCTTTTGATCCTGCTCTTACAGGCCACGTTGACCCAGGGCTAGTAGGGCTTACCAATCAAATGTGGATAGTTGACAGTCCTGTGTCTCCCATTATCCATTTAACAAACTGAGCATCTAAGTGCCAGGCACTGAAGACACAACAAAACGTGTTACCTGGGCTGAGCACAGAGTACTGAGAGTCGAGGTATCCGGAGTCCAGGACACAGAAGGGACAGGAGTCGGTGAAGAGGCCTGGTAAGGAAGCCCAGCCTGAGGAAGGTGAGAAATGAGGACACCAATCCCTTCCTCAAGCAATAAATTTCTTGGATTCTCTGACTTCTCTTTATACTGTGAGCCCGAATCAGGGCCCTGCCAGTAAAAACCTTCTGGTCTTCAAAACACTTTTTACTTCTGTAAGTAATTACGGGCTAAGGGACGATATCCTACAGTGGAAACATGGAGGAAGGGGCTCTGCTCGCCGCCTGAACAGATCAACTTCCAATGATCTCACATTAAACTGAAGCCCTTTTCCTCTGACAAACGTTTCCGCAGTCCAAAGTCATCTCCGGGAACTATCCTTGGTTTTCCCAAGACCTTCTTCTTGACTGTGCACTTGCACAGATTTACTGACTCAAAGGGTATTTCCCCTTTCACCAGAATCTCTCAGGAGGAAGTTCACCTTACCTCTACTCCCACCCCTCCAAGGTGGGCAAGGGGCAAAGGAACCCAAGGCCCCACGCCGCGCCCCGCTCTCTACACCCCCCCGCTCCAGTTGGCCCGTCCCTCCCCGCCTCTCCCAGGGGCAGCATCTCTGTTGCACAGGTTAAAGCACAGCAGGTGGGATTCCCTGCGGCCGACAGGATAGGGAGTAGGTCCTACATGAAGATATTGCCAAAACCATTCGCAGGATCCGACCCGATCCGGAGGGCGGCCTGGAGCCAGAGGCGCCGGGGGCGAGTGGGCGGTAACTCGCAGGCCGGACGTGACGCAAGGCGGGGGCTGCGCTGCGCCGGCCGGAAACCCAGCGGGCGACGAAGATGGCGGAGAACAGCGGTCGCTCCGGCAAGAGCAGCGGGAGCGGCGCGGGGAAGGGGGCGGTGTCCGCAGAACAGGTGAGGAGCGGAGAGCGCGAGGGAGGGTGCTCATCTGGGTCTGGAGTACTTGCGAGAAGGGGGAGCCTGTGGCTTGTGTAGGCCTTTACTCCAGTACCACATGTGCGTGGCACCCGGAGAGGGAAGGGTACCCGGAGAAGCTAGTGCAGCCCCTTCGGAGAGGTAGACGTTTGGGCAGGTGAGAGCCACGCCTCCCTGGGGTGTTGGGTGAGCCTGGGGGAGGGGAAAGCCCTGACCTGCAGGGTCTTGGAAGACTCACAGGTCTGAGGAGAGATGGTTCGCTGCTTTCTCCATCTCTCCTCGGCACCTCCAAACAGGTTATGTCTGGGCAAGACTGCTCGAAAGTAACCACCCAGAGGATTAGTTAAGGGGCTGGTTGTGTAGTCTGTTACGTGATCCTGAACCCACTTTGACAATCGCCGTCACGCTACAGAGCCACGTGACTCAAATACTCGAACAGCCTAGTGTTCCGTACTATATGGATTCGAGAGTTCGGTACGAAATCAAATTTCTTTAGAGACTAGAAACCCCTTTCTAATCCCAGTTTGCATTTTCCCCAGTGCCTAGCTTTGGGAAACGTTTAATAAGTTAATCATAAAGCCCTTGTGGCTTGAGAACGGTGTTTTGCCAAGTGGAAAATAGGAGTGGGAGGAAATCTACACAATAAAAATGAAAAAACAGCTATTTTGTTTTGAGACAAGAGTCTTGCTCTGTTGCCCAGGCTGGAGTGCAGTGGCGCGATCTCGGCTCACTGCAACCTCCGCCTCCCGGGTTCAAGCGATTCTTCTGCCTCAGCCTCCCGAGTAGCTGGGACCACAGGCAGGGGCCATCGCGTCCGGCTAGTTTTGTATTTTTAGTGGAGACAGGGTTGCACCTTATTGTCCAGGCTGACCTCAAACTCCTGACCTCGTCATTCGCCCGCCTTGGTCTCCCAAAATGCTGGTATTACAGGCATGAGCCATCATGCCCAGCCTACAGCTATTTTAATAATAGGTTTATTTATCAGGTTTTGTTGAACAGTTAATACAGACAGAGGTATCAACATAAAGATTTTTATTTTTTGAGACAGAGTCTCGCTCTGTCGTTCAGGGAGGAGTACAGTTGCTGGATCTTGGCTCACCGCAGCCTCCACCTCACGGATTCAAGCAATTCTCCTGCCTTAGCCTCCCAAGTTGCTGGGATTAAAGGCACGTTGCCTAGGCTGAGTGCAGTGACGTGATGATAGTTCTCTGCAGCCTTGAAATCCCTGGGTGATGAAGCCATCCTCCTGACTCAAGCTTCCTGAGTAGCTGGGACTATAGGAATAAAACATTTTGAGTGGCTAATTAAAAAAATTTTTTTTGGTAGAGATGGGGGAAGTTTCACTTTGTTGCTCGGGCTGGTCTTGAACTCCTGACCTCAGGTGATCCACCTGCCTTGGTCTCCCAAAGTGTTGGGATTGCAGATGTGAGTCACCTTGCCCAGCCCCCTGTGATACTTTTTAAGAGTACCATGTGTCAGGCACTCTGCCGGGTACAGCAATACAGTTACAGTAGTTCCACCTTATCTGAGGGGGACGTTCCAAGACCCCAGTAGTTGCTTGAAACCTGGGATAGTATTGAACCCTATGTTTTTTCTCATACCTATGATAAAGTCTAATTTATATAATAGGTACAGTAGCTAATAAAATAGAACAGTTCTAACAATATACTATAATAAAGATTACATGAATATGGTCTCTCTCTTTCAAAATATTTTATTGTACTGTACTCACCCTTCTTGTGATGATGTGAGATGAAAAAGTGCCTTCCTGATGAGGTGAGATGAGATGAGATGAGATGAGATGAATGACAGCATTGTGATGTAGCCTTAGGCCACTATTGACGATAAGTCAGAAGGAGAATCATCTACTTTAGGTGATCTCAGATCATTGAGCCATGATGATATTGAGCAGGAGAAGTTGATGACTAAAGGGCAGGTAGCATATATAGCATGGATAGGCTGGGCAAAAGGATGATTCACATCCTGAGCGGGATGGCTGGAGATTTCATCACACTGTTTTCATAACAGCACACAACTTAAAACTTACGAATTATTGGCCGGGTGCCATGGCTCACGCCTGTAATCCCAGCACTTTGGGAGGCCACGGTGGGCAGATCACCTGAGGTCAGAAGTTCAAGACCATCCTGGCCAACATGGTGAAACCTGGTCTCTACTAAAAATACAAAAATTAGCCAGTCCTGGTGTTGGGCACCTGTAATCCTAGCTTCTCAAGAGGCTGAGGCAGGGAGAATCACTTGAACCCAGGAGATGGAGGTTACAGTTAGCCAGGATTGCACCGTTGCACTCCAGCCTGGGCAACAGTGAGACTCTGTCTCAAAACAAAAAACAAAAAAAAAAAACAACCTTATGAATTGTTTATTTCTGGAATTTTCTGTTTATTTTCAGACATTGGATAACTCGGGATAATGAGAGATTATTGTAAATGAAATAGACTTTGTCTTCAAATCACTTTACTTACAGACTCATTTGAGAAAAGATGAATCAAACAATAAAGATTTATAGTGTGCTACACAATCCCTTCATTATGGCTGCTAGAGGAGAGACCCCTAACTAATGAGACTGTAGGACTGTGGGCAGGGGCTGGAAAAGGGAAGCTGTGGTATAGTAGGACGGCAGAGCATTCTTATGCACTAGGGTCAGACAGACCTAAGTTTGAATTTCATTTCTACCATTTACTATATATATATGACCTCCTCTAAGTTACATCTTGGCCTCCTCCATCTGTAGAAACATAACAGTACCTACCTCATGACTGTATTTAGAGTATTAGGCAAGACAATACATGCAAAGTGTTTTGCACAGTGATTAGAACATAGTGTGTGTTTAGTAAATGCTTTTGTTTTCTAGAGAAAACAAATCACATGCAAAGTGTTTTGCACAGTGATTATAATACAGTGTGTGTTTAGTAAATGCTTTTGTTTTCTAGAGAAGATCCTTCAGCTCAATTCTAAAGGATGAGAAAAGTTAGTCAAGCAAAGAAGGAAGTGGAAGATTTTCTAGGTAGAGGGAATAATGTGTTCCAAAACACTAAAGCGTGAAACTGCCTGGCATGTTTGGGATGCGGGTGATTCTAAATGTTTGCGATAGATTACAGAATTTGAATATGGAGAAAAGGGGATAAAAGAGGAATACAAGATGTCTCTCAGGGTTTTGTCTTTGATACTATAGGGAATGTAGGGAGACAGACAATTTTGGGAAAAATATAAATTTATTTTAGGATTTTGAGTTTAGGTTTCTCCTGGGACATCCAGGTTAAACATTTAGTAAACAGTTTGATTTTTAAATCTTGAGACACGGAAAGAAATCTGAGTTGGAGATAACAGATTTGAGAGTTGCATTTATGGATGATAAAGCCATGGTTGTAGTGGATAAAAATGATCATTCTTTCTAGTTTGAACAGAGAGTGACAAAATAGAACAAGGGTGGAACCACCATTTTAGTGGCGCTAAAGAGAAGCCCTCAAACTTCCCTCAAAGGAAACCAAGGAACTGTGATAATTGAGTTTTGAAGCTGTTCCTTCATTAACATTCTCTGGGCTTTGTTTATTCTGGAGACAACACTGGGTAAAACATTACAAGATATATCACTGCTGCAAATTTGAGCCACGTATGTCCCTTACATACAAGATGGAAGCAAGTAACACATTGTGTTAGGCACTTTATTTGTTTTACCGTCTGTTACTGATTGAGACAGGGTCTCATTCTGTTGCCAAGGCTGGAGTGCAGTGGTGTGATCATGGCTTACTGCAGCCTCAACCTCCTGAGGCTCAGGTGATCCTCCTACCTCAGCCTCCCAAGTTACTGGGACTACAGGGGTGTAGCACCCTATCCAGCTAATTTTTGTATTTCTTGTAGAGATGGACTTTTGCCATGTTGCCCAGGCTGGTCTTGAACTCCTGGGCTCAAGGAGTCTACCTGCCTCGACTTCCCAGAGTGCTAGGATTACAGGTGTGAGCTGAGCCACTGCTCAGGCCTACCTTCTGTTAATTACTGACATTTGAAGAAGGTTGTATTGTCCTCCATTTATAGGTGAAGATACTGGAATTTCAGAGGCTTTAGTTAACTTGCCCAAAGTCAGTAACTGGAAGAGCAGGATTTTTAAATGAGAGACTTAAGAATCAGGCAGACCTATTTTTTCCACTTATACCATGATTATATTAGAGATATTTGAGCCGAAACCTGAAGGGGTGGATGGCTTTGAACAGGTGACAGAGTAGTTGAGTAAAGCCATAGAGGTATTTGAGTGTATGGCAAAGAATTTGTGACTTTTTTACATAAGCAGTGAGGAAGTCACAGAAGGATATATAGTATTAATTATTTAACTCTTTTTTTTTTTTTTTTTTTTTTTTTTGAGACGGAGTTTCGCTTTTGTTACCCAGGCTGGAGTGCAATGGCACGATCTCGGCTCACCGCAACCTCCGCCTCCTGGGTTCAGGCAATTCTTCTGCCTCAGCCTCCTGAGTAGCTGGGATTTCAGGCACGCGCCACCATGCCCAGCTAATTTTTTGTATTTTTAGTAAAGATGGGGTTTCACTATGTTGGCCAGGATGGTCTCGATCTCTTGACCTTGTGATCCACCCACCTCGGCCTCCCAAAGTGCTGGGATTACAGGCGTGAGCCACCGCACCCGGCCCTAATTATTCAACTCTTATATAAAATGTTTATTGTTGGAACTGTGGAAAACACAGGAAAAAGTTCAAACCAGGAAGTAAATTGCCCATAATCCAACCATCCAGAGATAATTATTCTTGCCATTTTGGAGTATGTCCTTTGAGAGATTTTCGCCCTTCCTTTATCCTTTTTTCTGAGGCAGAGTTTCGCTCCTGTTGCCCAGCTGGAGTGCAATGATGTGATCTCGGCTCACTGCAACCTTTGCCTCCTGGGTTCAGGCAGTTCTCCTGCATCAGCCTCTGGAGTAGCTGGGATTACAGGCAGTTGCCACCACGCCTAGCTGATTTT